CCTCTAGTAATATATTTACTGAGAAAAATGGTGACGTGTTCAATACTTATTTTACCCGCTGTACAACATAAACATCCTCTGTGTTGTGAGCAGAAAGATGTTGATYTTCATGACTTACATGCAGGAAATGAGGATTCATTTTTATCATGCATCAATCAATAATTTGTATTGTATTACAGAGCAATTCTTCCTGTTGGTGTCATATTTTGTGGCTAAAATATGTTAATCGATAATTTTTTTTAGAATATAAAAATTTAATGGAGTGAACAAGAGAGGAAAAAGTGTTCACACCCATGCTCTTGAAGAAACATTTATTCTCTGTATTTTTGGTTTATTATTTTCATATCTGCAATAGTTTCATTGTTTTAATAGTTTCGACTGAATACTGGTTCTATGTGGAAAGGTAAACAATTAACATCTTACCTGTYRTAGATAGCTTTTTGAATTACCTCAGGKTGGAGAAACAGGGTTTAATTTWGACCAGACTGATGAGCTATCTGAGTGTATACACTCAGATCAGTCTGGTCTTAGCTATAGCTAAGTAGAATGATGCCATCTTCAAACAACTCRATTCTCAACAATCTCATATTTGGTCACAGAAACTCAATTTTAAGACCTTTTCACTCCTGTAAATTTTGCTTTATATGGTTATTTACAAAAAGCAAATAGCAGCAGCTAAGACACACCCAGCAGAAGTTTTGTGATGTTTCTGTCCATTTAATGCAAAAATAACAATGATGACAATATTTTTTCTTTTTTAATAGTGTTCCAACAATCATTATGTTTTTAGGATTAGATTACTCAATCTGGCCTTAATCCTAAAATATACTTTAGTTCATCAATCTGATCTGAATTAAACAGTTTCTCTAAACTATCTACAACAGATAAGATATTATACRTCCATACCTTTTCCACAGAACCCCACTTCAAAAATTCTTAACTATCTTTTATTGTAAACTGCTCTGATGAATGTATTATTTTAATTTGAATTATAACTTGATAAAACTRTATCTATTTTTAATATATTTAACGCTGAAAATAATGGTTTTTGTTTTGAGGAGACGGGGGTTTCTCAGGGGTGAACAGAGTGCGACGTATAGTTGCTCCACAGCTGAACATCTTRTATTTCATCAGGAATGCACTTATGGGGCGAACCGCTGTGCTGTCTGTCACAGTTTGTTGCTCCCACTTTGATTTTGCTCCCTTTATAAGTTGCACAGAGAGTTTGAACTGCACCTACAGCTGAGAACGTGTCGTGAACGACCCCGAACACAGTACCAGTTAAAAAGTTAAACCAGCCTCAGACGAACAAACTGGAAACCCTCACTTTTCTTAAAACTTTACCTCCAACTGTAGTTTTTAGATGTCAGAATGAACAAAATCCTCTTTAAAGAAAACTTTTGCATCAAAATCTACAAGGGTCAAAAAGCCCAGCATTAAATCCAGATGCTGATATCATTTGATATCCACTTTAGTCCTCGTTTTCCTTCCAGCAGCATCATTTATGAATTAACAGTGGATTATTTATGGATTTTAGTTTGATTTAATAAGTTCAGGCCAAAAGTTGGTTAAGTGTTTTTTCCTCTCATAACATGGTCTTATCTCCTGCTGAGAAAAGATAACATCAATGAAATATGAAGCAGCCATGAGAAGCAGAGACGGGAGATAATTTATTCTTCGTAGATTCAGTGTTTTTCACCGGAGGTGCACACGTTTCACATATTTGTTATAATAAATTCGAATACCAAAAGCCCTGGCTGGTGAATGACACTGCAATATTGTTTCTGGAGAGTTTCCAGGCATCAAAAGCCAGTTTGACTCCCAGCGAAGCCTGAGCTCACTTTGTTCAGCGTGGAAGGGACTGATCAACAGTGAATACAGCCTCTTAAATTATTAATGAAGTAGGACATGAAAGCAGCAGCTGTTTGTGATCAGATTGGGCTTCTCTGTGAGGAAATGTGACGGACTGAGTGGGTTTAGCACTTCACTACTTTCAGCAGAGGTACAAATGCCCAGATGTTGGGCAGATGTTGAGTAAGGAGGGGTTAAAAAACAACCAGAGGGCCTGATTTGGGATCAAGCAACACCAACGATGTGCAGTCATCTGCAACGTCAAAGCTTATTTATCCTGTCCTGGTATCATTACTGTGAAGGCCAATTCTTTGAGTGTGCTGGGTTATTTAAGCAGAAACAGAGGGATTACCAAACACTAGAGTTTACATTGATTTATTCTGGATTAATGGGGAWGCTTCACTGGTCTTTGTAGAGTGTTTGTTCAATAAATTGTTTCCGTTCACAAGGAATGGATTAAAACTTTCCAAACGATCCTCATCACTGCCTTGGTCAGTTAAAAATACATACGTGGTGGTTTTATTTGAGTATTTGATATTAAGATTATGGCCTGCACAAAACAATGGCCAATAAATAATAATCTAATGTTATTGTGTAAAAAAGTTTTTATTTGCTTGTTATGGAGGTGTACTGCTACCGCAAATAACTA